TCTAGCATTTTATGTGATGATGTCCGTGCTTGTAATCAGATTTGAATGTAATCGACAGTTTAACAGCATAACATATTCACGTTTGTTTTTTTATGTCAAATAATTCAATTGTACATGGTGTAGACTTCGTAATTCACACTGATGATGACAAAATTGCATAAGTTGGAGGAATTCATTAAAATACTGTGTGGGCCTTGCCTTGATGTAGGGTAAAGGGAATGTCCCCACGTTTCTTCCATGGTATTGTTTATCTTTAGAGTTATTATTATTTTTAATATTGAAAATATTTTGTTGACTATATTTTCCCTTATTCAACTGTGTTTAGGCAACAATTGTAGGACGGAGATTGGATGCTGAAGTACAATATTGTCATAGCTAGGCAGGAGGATCTTACTCGTTATCATATCAAAGGAAAGAAAAGTATGAACACTTTACTTTGTCCAGAGACATAGACTCATCACCATGAAGTCGTGAAATTAAATATAGTACAAATTAATCGGTAAGAAAAAGAGAGATGGTAAGTGATGAAGACAGTGTGTGAAAATGACACACGTTGTTGTTTTATTTGTACTAGGCACATACTCATGGTCGTCCTTGTTGCTTGCTTAGCATTAGAATGTGAGCATTTTACTTAAAAATCGACCGATAACGAATGGCGACGATTAACTTTTATTTCTCATGTGTAAAATATAATACTCTCGTATTGAGAGTATGTTGTGATATTAATTATAATAGAATGTGAATGTCTATCTCAAATTAATTAATAATGAAAGGAAAGATTCATGATCATCGTTTAAACCAATAATGCAATGCTTGTATTTTCTGATGCGGATTAATGCTCTCAACTTGTAGCATTCTTTCCCAAAGGAATACGAGCAGAGGAGTCCGTGACATTTAGCTGGTCCTTATGTTATACGAAAGGACAATGGTGTGAAGAAGCTAGCACTTTTTCTTCATGCCACATTAGCAAAATAATGATTCAGTACTTGCAAAGCAACGTGGCGTCACAAGAGCGCAACACGGTGCACCTTGTTGGATCAAGCAGGTCTATTTTATTTTGGCATGTTGGCATCAAGAGGTTGGAGCATGAAGGGATTGAATTGCAGTCACAGTCACTGTGTCTGTCGCATATGGGAACCAAGGTTGGTGAAACAGTACTGTGAATGCATGTCAAATTCCAAAGAAGGTGGATGGAGTTGGTTAATTTCTGGAAGCCATGAAATTAAATGGACCTAGAAATGAGTGGTTCTGTTTGATGACAATTTGTAGCCAACAGAAAGACGAATATATATATATAAGTAAGGGGCAAAGTTGCTATTGAGGCAATTTAACGAGAATCATCATTTAGAAGCAACTCATAAAGTAGCACTAGTACAGATGCATGATGGGGTGACTAAAGGAAACAAAGCATTGTTGTGCAAATGAAAAAGGGTTGAAAGAAAATATAATGATTTCTGAATCTACAACATTGAAAATAATTACAAGGGTAACTGCCATCCAGATATATATAATACAGCAGGGTCTGTCTTCCTCCATTCGCATAATCTGCCACTGGTCGCTAAATTGATGTGTCTCCTGCAGAAAGTAGCGACCATCCGTCCAAAGCCGAGCTTCATTCTTCGTTATAAGTGCCAAACCTGAACAAGATTCCGAACACAACTCAGTGTGACAATATGCTTCAAAATTCACTTCACAGATTTCTAGTAGTGATTGTCTGTACCCAGAACATGGAAGTTCTTCCCGAGTCAATGTTGGAAAGCCCCAAAATGAACTACTGGGCCTGAAGACCTGAAGATGAAAGTTGGGCATGAGGACTCGACTCGACAATACTTGTATGAACCACCAAGCCCATAAACTTTTATACAAAATGGAACCAAGCCCAAATACATCCTTGCATTTCATGCACTGAGAAGGTTTTCCACCATCAAATTAAATTATGGTAAATGTAGTTTTGGATATGAATTTTTCATTGACTCTCTTCAACATCAATACCAGGCTACCAGCTACTCTCTGCAGTCACCATCATGGTCCACACAGTGATAGCTCTGTGGCCATTAATTCAAAGGAATTCAAAATCTTGATTTACTCTTTTTTTTTGTTTTTGTTTTTTTTTTTGCATGCCAAAGGAATTCAAAAGATGAAGAGCATGCAGTCAGTTTGTTGTTTGATCTCTACTCTTTAGCAATTGATTAATTAATATGTATATATATATATGTTAGTGATTAGTACAAAGTACGATTATATATATATACATATATATATTATATATAATTTTTTTCTCGATCCAGCCACCAAATTGACTTAAGTGCCAAAAAGCCTTCTCAAAAGCTCTCTCAACCTTTTCCTCCTTTTCAACCACTCCTACTCCCCCCCCTACCTTTTCTCTTTCACACAGTCACACTGAGTCGCACAGAGCCACACAGAGTTACAGTGTGCCACAGACACAGCACGTGACAAGCATATGGCTTATATATGGAGGAAAGTGAACATAGTAAACCCAGCTCCAGGTGGGTTGTGTGATCACCTGTCCTTTTTACATATACATATACATATATATGTACATTTCCAAGTTTTTATAGTATAATCGAAATTAACAATATGGTAAGGGGGAATATTAGTATTAGTATAGGGTTTAGGGTTTTATATAGAATTTTGAAATGGAAATGGACAACCTGGCTTGAGATAGGGGGATTTGACATTTACGTGTTGTTTCTTTCTTGCTGAGCCTTTTCTTCTCTCTCTCTCTCTCTCTCTCAGTCACAGCTGCTTCTTAATTTACACAACTTTCAAGGCTTGTAAGAGCGTTGAAATCTGGAGCCAGTATCGTCCTCTCCGTTTGTCACTCTGATATGGATATGTATGTACAACAAATACACAACCACATTCAACATTGAAAGAAAGAAAGAAAGAGAGAGAGAGAGAGAGAGAGAGAGAGAGAAGTGACGAGAAAGCAAGAGATTGAGCAACGCAAATGGCGACAGTTCAAATGCAGAGAGTTGCAGTATCGCCAAAGAGGCTTAGGGTTTAGGGTTGAGCTTAATTTGGTGGTGAAGTTGTGCATACTAGGCATGGCAGCACATCTTCCGGGCACCCTCTTTTAGATAAAACAAGGAGATGATCAGGATTCCAATTCTCGATTTTACTAATTAACTATATAACAATAATAATGTAATTGATTAACAAAGCTGAAAGCAATGTCCTGTACTTGTGTGTTTTAACTTTGAATTATTTTGCAAGGATAATAAAACTGAAATTTGGGCATAGACCTATGACCTAATCTAATACACTAATGGGGTAGGTAGGGTTTCCATTGACTTACATTAAAAGCCTCCTTATATTATATGCAATTGTTTCTCTAGCTATAGGTTTATGATTGAAAGTAATTGTCCACCTAAAATTATGAGAAAAAGCCATAATACATGGCTTGAAGATGAACACGTGTGTTTAATTCAAAACTTTTACCCCAACAAGGCTGCATTTTACTGTTGAAAACTCATCTTGTGAGTCAAGTAGTTGTCCCCCAATTACATATTATTAATGCAATTATTACAACACAAAGCTCTTCAACTATTTGTGACATGAAAATTTACTTGTTTTTATTACAAGTCCAACTTCTGCAAACCCAAGTTTTTGTTTTCTTTTCCCATAGCTAGCAGCAATGTCAAATGTGCCACAGTGTATGGTCTATTGGCTGCAAACACGCAGTACTTTTTGGCAGCCTCAAGTAAGACAGAAGAAAAGGTTCATAAATTAACCTAGCTACCCATCATTCCATCTCATCAATACAAAATATATATATATATATATATATATAATGCTTCTTTTTTACCACCCCCTCAAAACCCTAGGTAAATATATACTCGTTTGACAACCCTCTTCTCAATTCCTCTTGAATGTTTGAATGGTTTTGATTGTGACAGTAGAAAGGTAAAAAAATGTAAGCTAGATAGATAAACGGGATCGTTCGCAAGGGAAAGGGGAATGGGAAAGGGAAGGGAAGGGAATGGACCCAGAAAAGTCGCCGAGGAATTTGGGGTTGGAAAGGTAAAAGGCTAAAAATGCCCGAAAGGCAAAGTGAAAATGAGAGAAGGGGACGCCTCTGCCCCATCTGTCGGTCATCGCCTCGAATTCCTCGCCCTGAGCCTGAGCTCTAAAGTGACACGCCAGCCGAGGGCCCCTCTTATTTCTTTATTTTTCACTTCATCAAAATAAAAGATTTAATTGATTTCACATAAAAGTGACAAAAGTATTAAATGGGGTTTCCATTATCGGGCAGCTCAATCACCCAACCACTCCTCTGACTCCCTTCATAGCCCCTCTCTTTGTTTTGATTCCCTTTTTCCTGTATATATATAAATAAATAAATAATTTTATTATTATTTTGGTGTACTTTTTTATCATTGTACAATGATAGGATCCTACGGTCCAAGATGGGTCTTTGATCTCTAGGGTACACACAGAATTCTTATAAGTCTAAGTAGACTATTCACTATTATTATGTTCGATGACACAATCAAAGCATCATGCTCAAAATCAAATGGTGTGAGAGAGTTTTTTACTTTTTGGGGTACTAATTCTTATGGTCAATGGTTGTACGAGGTGTTTACATCGATCAACGGTCATCTGCCAAATCGGACGGTCGATATACATAGTATCAGTTTCATCCATCTAATCTAACCCTAATGATATACTAATATATATATGTATGTTTTCTTTTTCATGTAATTAAATATTTGTGACTGTGTGTGACTCTGGCTAGACACAGTAAACAGAGAGAGAGAGAGAGAGAGAGAGAGAGAGGGTGCATGGGGTCGTGGTCATTTCTGGAAGTGAGAGAGAACACAGCTGGTAGGGTCGAGTCTGCACCAATGTTTTTGTCTTTTTATATCGCCTTTATGACTCTTGCTATTATAAATTTATAAGTTTATAACTCTCTCACCCCTCAACCCCATACCATAGTTACCATACACCCCCCCATGATCATTATTCGTTCACATTCATCATTCTCATCCCCCCCTCTCTCTCTCTCTCTCTCTCTCTCTCTCTCTAACCCCCCTTGAAGATAGGCGAGACTCTTGGGGGACAGAGAGATAAAAGAGATCAGAGAAAGCACACATAGTCCACATATATATAGAGACACACATGATCGTCAAAATCATGGATTTTGAAGAAGAGGATAGATAGATATGTGAAGCTTTAGCTTTTGAGGGGAATGTTGTCTGGCTCGAGGACACTTTTCCTTGATCTGTATTTCTTATAGATCAACCTGTATATTTATATCTAGGTATACATATATATGGCTTTTGGTGAATTAGTGTCGTCGGACCAGGCTTCATTCCCCCCAATTTATGGCTTCCATTGACCTGTTGTTTTTCCACGGCAGAGGGCTTAATTCTTCACAGTCTTAGAGGTTTGCCTTCTGTTTTATTTTTATGTTTTAGATGATTTGCTATTTTGGGTTCTTTTTTTGTTTTGTTTTGTTTCTGGGGTTATTTATTGGCAGTTTAAAATGATGGGTTTTTGTTTTTAGATCAATTAAGGTTGTTAGTTTTGTGCAGATTGGTGTAATGATGGAGTATTTGACTATTTTTGCCCCTTTTTCAGTTTCATAGACTGCATAAAAAGGTTCATCATTGCTCTCCCTTTTCATTTATTTGTTTCGTTGTTCATGATCATAAAATTATGATGATGTTGTTTTGTCAGTCTAAGGCTCTAAGCGCTTTTTCCGCTTCATCATTATCCAGATTTACCTCATGATGCCTTCCAGTATCTGATCTGTCTGTTTCTGCCATTTTTCAGATCTGGCTTTTTTGGCTTTCTATTTAAACTTTGGTAAACATTCTCTCTTCTTTCTCACGTTCTAACTCTCTCTCTCTCTCTCTCTCTCTCTCTCTCTCTCTCTTAGGGTTTCGTAGGTCTAGATTTAGGCTATTATCTAAATGAATCTTTTAGAAAATAGCATAAGCCTTTGCTTAGGAGAACAAGCAAGGAAGTGACACCCTTTCTGACATTGTTTAAAATGCCTATTTTCATTTGTCAACAGTTTTCTATTGCTCTCAGTCAGTAATCCTTTTCTCAGAGTGTTGATTAATAATAATGTTTAAAGATGCATATATATGCATATATGATTGCTGTATTTCATTATTTTGCAGATCAGTTAATTATATTCCTGTTACTTTTGTTTATATGCCATGATGCTTCAGAGTTACCTTTCTTTTGGTCTTGATGATAATGTCCTTGCTGACATCCCTTTATAACTTGAACTTTGCTTCTTTCAAAATGTGATGAGCATATGACATGTACATTGCAGCCCAAAGGACAACTATAACTTTGGGAAAGCGTGTGTGTCTGGTTGTCCAAAAGGAAGCCTGGTCACTTGCCTTTCCTTTGGTATCTTCTCAGTGGATATACCTATTGAAACCCTAATCTTGTTCATCTTTGATTTGCTGTGAAAGGCTTTGTGATTCTCAAAGCTTTTAGTCACTCACATTGTCTTTTCCCCTCCTGACTTTTTGTCCCTTCATTATGGTTTTATTTGACTGACTGTACGCTAGCTAGCTCAGAGTCAAGGGGCTTAGAACACAGCCATTGCTGAAAACTAAAGGTATTGAAAATGCATATGCTAGACAAGAACAAGGAGCACTGTGGAGGTAATCTAGATGCCCCAAACAAGTTACAAACTACTAATTTGATCAAGTTCTTCTTAGAACTTTCTTAAGCTTAAGAGTTTAAGAATTCCCTTTGTACAATCCCAGAGTTCAATTTCTTCTTGAAGTCCATGTAATCTAGTGTTTTGTTGTCTCTCCCTTATTTATTTATTTATTTTTTGTTACATTGGAGTTCGGACTGGGTGCCATCATGCTACCACCACTATAATGGGAACCCATTGGCGTTATCTCCCTTCTTTACAAACTATACATGTATTCTTCAAGGCTACTGATTAATCCCAGAGTTCAATTTCTTCTCAATTATTCTAGTGTTTTTTGTTATCTACATTCTTTAATTTCCTTCTTAGTTTTGATAACAAGGTTTTCGAACAAGTGTTGTCTTGGCCTCTAAGAACTTACAGTAATTAACATTCCTTATTCTAATTAATGTAAGCTCTCTTTCTGTCTCTCTCAAGCCCACACACACACACACACACATTTAGATCAGCACATTCATCTTCAGATATTGCTTGATATTATATACATACAAGTGGTCTTCTTGTCTCTTTCTAGTTTTTTCACACTATTATTTTCCATGTCACATAACCCTGATTGCAAGAAAAGTCAATGTACGAAAAGCAGCTGGTTTGGAATCAAGGAAGAAATCTCATTTGCTAGCAATCAAACTCTTCCCCCTTGCGCTTTGATTTTTTCACTAATGTGGTAATTAAATCTAATTTCCTTGTTTAAATTGGAAGATGTGGGCACTCATGTTTTTTGTTTTCACCTCGTGCTTTTGTCCTCCTCTTCTTTAACCCCTCTTTAATTCATTGTTGTTAATATACAAAAGTTCCTTTTGGGAAATTGAATCTTTTTGACCTTTGCAAACATAAAAGTAAAAACTTTATTGCTTTGTTTGTGCCCATAATTTTCCACACACACAGAAAGAGAAAGAGGAAGAGAGAGAAAGAGAAAGAGATAGAGATAGAGAGAAGAAAGATAGCTTTGGTCATGAATGGTGAACTCCAAGAAAAGCTTTTTGTGCATGGCCACAACTTTCAATGAATAATTGGTGTGATTGTTCCCACTTGACAAAGACTCTATTAATTAATTTAATTTAAACCCTTTTGAGGAGGACTTTGGATAATTGTTCTTGTAGCTAGCTAGCTATAGCTGTTAGATAGATGCATGGGAAATTTGAGCTACTTGGTCCTAGCAGATGGAAAGTTGTGGACCTCCTTTCCTTATAGCTCCATACTTAGGCACTGTACAATGGTTTGAAGCCTATAGTAGACTACTGTAGGATCCAAGGCAACTTAATTTGGTTCCACTTTGAACTTATTCCCTCATTAATTGGCAGGATTGACTAATAAGAATTGTGCTTTGTGCTTGCAGCTGCTGAGATTTCATTAATTTGTTTCATTAATTCTTGTTGAGTTTTCATCTGTTGATTTCCCTTCATCTATCTAGGCTCTTTTTTTTTCTTTTTTTGTTAAGCCACTCAACTTTATATTGAAGTGAGATCAAAATCAAGTAGTACAAATTAAAGGGAGCAGAAATGCTTGTCACTGCAGACTCACAGGGTAGTAGTGCTTCAGTAGGCAGTGAGGAGGGCATATGCTTACTGGGAAGAAATACATTAATCTAAGATACAATCACTTTGAATGATTTATATTAATCTGAGTCCTTGATCAAATCGAGTGGAGACAACCATATCATCAATGTATTCATGTTAGTCGACTCTAAGACCTCCTCTAGTTATGTAGAGACAACTACCACTAAACTAAACACTAGTTGGTGTTTCTTTTCGGGTTTGATATTGTGATGATCGATCAATGGCTTGATTTGGCCAGGTAGATTTCATATACAAATGAAAATATCCATAAGTTCTTTATTTTTAGTTTACTTCCTTTACAAAAGAGTACGTAAGGCGGAAGTAAAAACTAATGCTGTGGAAATGAGGGGTAAATCAATGCTCTAACACCCACCAAAGATTCATTAGCCAAATCAGTACTGGTTGCAAACTGTATTGTGTTGTCTTAGGATTGTTTTCTACGTGAATCAAATCCTGGTGCACTTAGAGGGAGGGAGAGAGTTTGGCCTACTTTTCCACTATGATGCCACCCTCATGTACGTTAAAATTCAGCTATTAGCAAGAGCTTAATTTATGCTGTCATCTTCATTTTGGCCTCCTACCTAGACAACAAAATCTTCATTTTTAAAGCATGTTTTTCCAATAGCATGAGGTAGGTCGCACACTTGTTTCACACACTTCAACCATAACATCCTTTTTTCTAATCTTCTTCTTTGGTTCTTTTTATTATTATTATTATTATTATTATTATTATTTCCATCTATTGGGTTTCAAATGAATGTCTTATTGATTAATCAAACACTAAATGCCTTATTACTTTGCCAAATTAATATTCATTTGTTAATAAGTGGGATTTCCAATTGGACCCAACAAGTCCCAAAACTCCACGGATCGAGCTCAAACTAAACCTTTAGGCTCAGACAAATGGGTCAAGCTAAGTTTGGGCTTGTAGGGCAATGCAAGGTCCAAATAATAATGTAATTATTGTTGGCAACAATATTTCTGCGTTTGGCTCCAAAGATAATTTGGTTGGTTCAAATTAGAGAAGACCGATTCTCCACTAGGTAGCTAGCTAGTAGTAATGCCAGCAGGTGGAAATGGAACAGATCCATGTATAAGCTGCCTGCTTCAATGCATTGACCTCTGTGATACAATATAATAATTATTTGAGGGTCAAAGGAAATTATGTTTCACGAAAGATATTCAGAGACAAAGCAACCTCCCCCACTCCAGCAATAAAATGGAGAATAACATGTCAATTACATCTTCTTTTCTCTTTTGCTTTCTTCAAAAAAGCAACACTGAATCTGATGGCTCACTCCCCCACTTTGGCTGGTTTTTTTTATTTTTATTTCTTCCATCCCCACTTTCTTGACTTTGCATCTTGCTAATCTATACCATATATTTTATATGTCTCCTTGCTCATTTAGTTTAACAAACATAATCATGTATAGTATGTAATTGTATATAAGTTGGAAGAACATAACTTAGTGGGTAGTTCTACGACACTTTTTAATAATTTGGTACATATTATATATATATATATATATAATTAATTTAGTGTATTTTTTATATATATAGAATTGTATGGTTCTTTTAATGCTAATTGACTTGTGTATAACTTAGTGGATACAATTTATACAGAAAAGAAAAGAAAAAATGCTTTAAGTGGGTAGCATATTTTGTGACTTTTCAAATTCGGTATAGTCTAGTGTAAAAGGGTTTTGATTTGCAGACTAGTGGTCTCAAGTTCAATCCCTTAAGAAACTTTGGCAGGTTGTGTGAGAAATTCCCCTCCCTACTGTGGTCTTAGGTTCTAACAGAGATTTGTGAGTATTTCTCCTGAATCATTTTCTTAGAAAAACTGTAACTCTCTTAGAAAAAGAATTAATAATTGATCCACGACCTCATATTCTTAGAAATATTCTAACAGAGATTTGTGAATATTTCTCCTGAATCATTTTTCCTTTTCAGTACTACTTTCTTTTGTTCCGAAAATATTGTGAGAGCTTAGCGTTGAAATATTCAAGAACGAAGAATTTTGGCATGTAGGGAGTATATATCTTGACATGCACTTGATGAGACAACCACAAAAAATATCTAAAGTTCTTGTCATGGTAAAAGAGTGTTTTACTTTTGATCAAACATAGAAAAAGAGTGTATAATTCATTAATTACTCGTTAACTCTTGGCTTACATGGTGACTAATGTGGTAGCCCACAGACTAGTTCGATTGGCTGAAATTTGATATGAGGCGTTGATGTGGTATGGGAATCCTCTTGATATCATACATGATGTCTTAGCCGAAGATCATATGTAATGGATTTTCCAATAATAAAACATCTTGGCTTACCTAGATCTTAATCGTTGTAAATTCATTAAAAAAAAATGTATCTTCTTCTTCTAAATTTTGAATTGAACCAAGTTGTGGAGACGACTTATGAGTATTGCCTGGTAAGACTTCTGTAGGCGGTTTGAAGGTGGAACCAACTGGAGAAAAGAGTGAGGACCATATATAATATTATGCGGTATACAGCACACACACACACTCCATGGAAAGTGAAGTCCAGCAACACATATGCATACATCTAATTCTAAACCAAAGAAAGGTTGGGGCCTACTGGAGAAAACAAAAAAAATAGGTATATATTTTTTAGAGCCGAAAGAGAGGACGACCAGTTTTTGTCATTCTTGTCCCCGATTTTATTATTCGACCAGTTATTGGAAGTAGATTTCCTATGAGAGGGTTTTGTGTTGTGTCCTGTGTGTGTCCTTGAACATATGTATATGTCAACATGGACATGTTCGAGAGCTGCCATTGGATGTTCCCAGAATTTGCCTTCCTGTAGACGACACCCCTCACTGTCGGTTTCTACTTGGGTGCTTCAAAACCCTAACTCCACCCACCCACGTGTCTCTGCCTTCTTCCACTCACTGTCTACGTGTTTTAACTCCTCACACAATATCCGAATTATTCCTCTCCTTTCTAAAATCAAATCACAACAGAACAATTTTGGTTACTTCTGCCTAACTATTATTGGTGTAGTTTTTTATTCATCTCTTCAGTGTTAAATCAAATGACGTGTATGAAAAAATTATGAATTGGGGAAATCAAAATATGAAAGAGAATGAATGTGATCAGCTACTACTAATAAATATAATTCCTAAATTTTCAGATATTATAATGTGAAATTTACATAATTTTCTTTGATGTATGTGTCCGTAAACAAGAAAAATAAACACAAAACAGTTATAACATAAAAATTCTAACATCCTTTATTCAAATCCCTTCTTTTCCAAAATCGTTTGTATCATCCGTAACATAATTTAGAATCATATGATAAGCAAAGAATCTAGGTCCCTTTTAAATCAAACGCCAACCAAACCAACTTGTGTGAAGGACTAGAAACCCCATGTCACATACGTTACAACTCCCCACTTTCTTATCTGATTGTTCTCAAAGATGAGGATGATATCATCGTCAATTGATCATCAATCAAGGGTCAAAGAAGCCCACTTTGATTGAAAATCACGAAACCCCCTGGTTGCACACCAAATAAAAGCCCACTTGATTATTCTTGGGCTGGCTTGGCTCTCCCTCTCTCTCTCTCTCTCTCTCTCTCTCTCTCTCTTGTTATATATCTCATTTATTTTCTGGTTGGTATGCGTTTTGCACTAGGAGTGTAGTTTATCAACGATGACCAACGTACCAAGGTCTCTGAGTTACTCTT